AGATATTAAATATTTATCTGATAAACGCGCTATACATCACAATACTTAATAGCTTTTAATTTCGGTCACCAATATAACGATAACGATAATTAACAAAATCTTATTTATTTTCCTTCAAATTTATTTTCCTTCAAAACTTGTTTTCAATCCGAGAAAAATATAAAGAATAAATACCTAACAGTTAAAAAGAAGTAATTAAAAAAACATTTCTCTCTCTCTCTCTATCTCTCTCTCTCTCTCTCTCTCTCTCTCTCTCTCTCTCTCTCTCTCTCTCTCCCTCTTTCACATACACAAAGAGAAAATATCGTTCCATCAGCGTGCAAAAACAAAACAGAAGTCTAACGAAAAGGGTTCGTCGAAAATAAGTCCGAAAGATGACGGACGGGTAGTTTGCTGATCGCTTGAGGCGAAATAAAGTGTTTCGAGTGCTCGTAGATTTACGAGCGGAGCTATAAAGCTATCTTTTTAACGGAAGTAAGCTCGAGCTCGTCCGCGTATTACTCGCGATACGCTCTTATTAGGAAAGCACCCTCGAAAGCGTGTAACTCTCGAGGCCATATCAGAGGCTGCTATGGAACGACAATTATTCTCCCCCTTTCTCTCCCTCTTTCTCTTTCTAACCAGCAAGAGGCCGTCGGACGTTATAACTGGGACGATGAGAGTAATCGGGCGATCCTCTTTTGTGGCAGATAGTCTTTGCCCTCGGGACTTTAATTTAGGTATGGCTCGCTTATTTCGTTTCCCTTAAGAGAAAGAGAAGGGTAGTCGACATTTCTACCAGTAGTAGCTTTGCCCTGGAGTTTCAGGGTCGACAAGTATGATGGATCGTCTTGGACCAATTGCTTTTGGTCTTCCGAAATCGTTGCAAAGGGATTTATGTGAGACAATGATATTTCGATATATTTTAAAGAAATAGTATAGAGACAATTGCAATCTAACAATACAATCATCGATTCTTGAAATAATAAAATTAATAGATAAAATAATAATAAATATCGCGATTTTATAATTATCAATAAAAAAGATAGATATAAAATTACGTTGGCGTGATTTACAGACGTACTGTGATAAACTATTTCATTTGATCTAACTGTGAGTAATTGTATTATATGAAGATCATTTTGTTTAGATCTTTTCGTATAGCACACGAAACACACTTTCTCGTTTGTCATTCAAAACTAAACACCCCTATGTGGTTACTTTCGTCGCGGCATGTTACATTATTTAACACTTTGCGGTTTCCATTCTGTTCGCGATATTTTCATTTAAGTTTCTGCATTAATTAAATTAAAATAAAGTATCAAGATTCACGTGTTCAATAGGTTTGGTATTTTCTATCGGTTTTTTAAAAGGAGAAAGATAAAAAAAAATGAGAAAAATGTATTATTATATGCTTAATAGAAAGGAATTGATAAATAAAGGATTATCGACAAAATATAGAAAGAAAATCAATTTGCTTTATTAGGAAACACTTAAGGATCTGTTTGAATTAAATCATTTATCGAGGAAATATCCGTGTTATCGTAAATCAACAACCCTTTCTTTCGTACACTAATAACCAACCGATTCAATCTAACTTCAATTTTATCGCTGTCACAGTAATTTATCGTATCTTTTATTTTCGTTTTACATCTAATATCCGGTTGTCTTTCGACCTTTCGACCTATGCTTTGTGTTATCTACAATAGTAGCAAAAATATTCTCGTTCATGTATTTTAAAAGGAAAGCTTCCGGCCATTCAAGTATTTTATCATCACTTATTTATCGGAAAGCAAAGTCATTCTCAATCAGAAATCGTTAAAAATAATCAGATCTCCGTATTCTCACTTATCTTTCATTTATCGCAGGTATAACCTTCGTTATAACCTTCGATATATTTGTTCGTTTAATTCAATTCTCGATTGTGACGTTTAGGAAACAGTCGATCAAAATTATCCTTGATCCTACGTCAAACTAAAAGATTTAACAGATCGCTGTGAAACATCTAATAAAGGAGATGCAATATTTTAATGGAAGACGAATCTCCGGATGTGACTTCATAAATTTGACTTTGACGTGTATAAATGTGCGGGTACGTTCATCTCTTGTTGCAAGAAATCCTATGACTAGGGCTAGAAGATTGAGAATGCTCGGTGAGAAGGGTAATACGTAGCAGAGCAAGAGAGGAAGATAAGAGAGAGAGAGAGAGAGAGAGAAGAAGGAAGAGGAGGAGGAGAAAGGAAGAGAAGTATAGGCCAAAAGGAGGGGTAGTGAGATAGATTGGGGATTGCGGCACGCCATTTACTCTCGTTAACGCTATATAGCCTCGTCCAGCTCCCGTGGCAAATTCTCCTCGTAGTTACAAGGACACACAGGTATAATGGGCTACAGAGGCCAGAAACTATCTACAAGTGAACGCACATCGATGTGTGAGGACGAAACACGGAGCTAGAGGGACAGTAGTTGAAGGGTTGAAGAGCACGAGGAAGGGAGAGATAGAGAGAGAGAGAGAGAGAGAAAGAGAGAGGGGCGGCTTCAACGACAGTTAAACGGGATAACCCTGCCAGGGATTAAATCGTTCTCACCCCTTTCTGTCCTACCTACTCCAATACTATCCACGATTATATTGCATATCGGCCCTTTACACCGTTCTACCTAGTTCCGGTGTCCTTCTCCTCTAGATTAGATGTTACCACGGCCCGTTTCCTCGCTGATATCGAGGTCAGTGTTTTGTAGAATCGATGTAGAACGTTACGCGATAATACAGAGGATAATATTCATGATTTAATGTTGGAAATAATTTTATTTCCAGAGGATTCTCGTGTACTATCGTTCTCTATAGAAATGGGTGGTTGAAAATCTGGTCGCGGCTGAACGTGACCAACGACGCGATTATTGGTCGTCAAATATTTACGTTTAAATCAGTTATACGGTTCGCATAATGGAGGAAAATTTGGAATATCGTAGCATTAATTAAGTACATAGATTCTATTATAGTTAATAAATGTTGCATCAAACATGCACTTATCGACGAGAATTCACAATGAGAGGAAGGAGAAAGGGAAAAAGAGAAACTAAACGTTGCGGAATACGAATGAATGAACGAATGAACGAACTAACGAGCGAACGAACGAACGAACGAACGAACGAACGAACGAACGAACGAACGAACGAACGAACGAACGAACGAACGAACGAACGAACGAACGAACGAACGAACGAACGAACGAACGAACGAATAGGTTGCTTTTTATCTCTAGATCGTTTCTCGTGGTGAAATACCGGTAATCCTCGAAAGTGCCGAGACATTAGAATTTTCCGATTCGCACAAGCGAACTTAACAGGCAACTCGTATCTTACGAAGTTACAACAGCTACGTAAGTACGAATATCTCAGCGTTTTTAAAATTCCCGAGCTAAACTTATTCGCTCGATACTTCGGATATATCTTGTGGACATTCTTGCCGAGAGAATCTTTAGACTTTTTAACGCGAACATTTTTCTTTTCTTCTTTTTTTTTCTTCTTCTTTTCTTCTATTTTTTTTCTTCTTTTTTTCTTTTTTTCTCCTTCTTTTTGTAAGTGTGCGCATGAGAGAAGATGGAAGAGATAGGGATATCCTCGTGAAGAAATTCAAAGACAATGGAAGATTCCTGAATGTGAATTTACATTAACATCTCTCTTTCTCGATTCATTTAAATAGCGAAAAAAAAATTTTGAAACAAAGAAAAAGGACAACGAGTTGGGAACTAAGGGAGCGCTTAGATTTAACGAGCGCTTAGATTTTATAAATTTGTATTTAACAAAGAAACGACGTCAAAATAAAATTAGCGGTAGGCAAAGCTCACATTAAGATTGTTCCTTATTATTTTCCCAGCGGTAGGGATCTCCGTCAATTTAAGGATTAACTTCCGACCCTCTCTCTCTCTTTCTCTCTCTCTCTCTCTCTCTCTCTCTCTCTCTCTTACTCTTTCCATCTCTGTCTCTCTTTTTCTTTCTCTTTCTCTCAGATTTCTGCCTGTTTCGCAACGACTCAGCGTTTCTGCGAACGGAACTGTACGTAAAGAGAGAAAGAGGGAGAGAAACGAAGATGTAGATAGAATCAAAGAGAGGGAGAAGAGGAAAAGAAAAAGAAAAAGCGAGGATTGTGGAGGGCTCAAAGGATCTCAAGAGTCTTTAGGTGGTAGAAGCGAGTTAATCGCTGGCCGGAAACGCGAGGAAAGCGTTAAGACTCTCCTCGTGACTCGAGCTTTCCGCGTCACTATTTTCTTTCTTTACCTTTAGATCATCTTTTCTCCATGCCTTTGCTTACTTTGACTTGTTCCATTTGTTCCATTACATGCTTTGAATTATAATCAAATCGAATCTACGTCATTGATTTTATGCGATCCCATTTACAATTAACAACAATTAAAATATCCCGTACCGATAAAGGATAATAAAACTTTGAAGTATACGCGAAAAAACATTACGTACTCGTGAATAATGTATTATACGAACGAGTAAAAAACTAGTTGTATCTTATAAATGATTATACATATATGGGGAAAAAAATGTTGAAAAAGAAAAAAAAAAGAAGAAAAAAAAACGAAAGCCAAAGAAGTATGCTAGTGTAAACGCATCAGCAGGTTATGCGAACTGGTTAAAAAGTGTACGATCATCGTGTACAGTGTTTTGCTCGCTCTCTCTCTCTCTCTCTCTCTCTCTCTCTCTCTCTCTCTCTCTCTCTCTCTCTCTCTCTCTCTCTCTCTCTTTCTCTCTAAACGGTCGCTTATGGCACTAAAAAACTCTTTGTTATTCTCGTTACATAAAACTCAAATATCGCGACGATGCTTTCCTCCGCTAGTCCCACGAGTCGAGATTCGTGATTTCGTCGCTCCCGTAGGATATCGTATACGATGCTTAATGCGAATTTACTTGACGCGATAAAAAGATCGTAGAAGTTTCCTATTCCCTGGATCGTCCGACTTTTCCGAGAATTTCCGAGAATTTCACGTTTTAACTGTTCTACGTTATTGCGACAGATGCTGGACGTGAAGGAAAGCGGCAGAGGTGTCTTCGTCTGTAGCAGTCCTGGTCCAGATCCTTACACGTCTCAGGATCTTTATAATCCTGTCTACGAGGAACTCAGCAACGGTGAGCACGATTATTTATAATTTTTCTTTTATTTCAAACTTTGTTACGATCGAATACTCCTGATGTTTTATTTGAACGAAAAAAGAAAAGGAAAGAAAAGAAAAAAAAAAAGTAAAAAGAGAGAAAAAAAACTATGGAATACAAAACCAACGGAAAGAGACACGATAAATAGATTTATTGGATTTCTATAAATGAAACTTTAATTCCAATGTTACCTAAAAGGGATCAATCCTTTGAATCTTTTATCGTTAAATTTTTTCTTAAGTCGTATAAAATTTTTGTATAAGAACATCATCCGGATATCTTTGACCTATCAGATGTTGTTCACTCGTTAGTAGATACTTATTCATTCTAGATGAGACTAGCCTTTGAAGATGTGAAGATTATCGTAAACAGTTATATGCAGGATCGTCGATCCAAGCAGAAAGAAAACATAGGTACTTGTTTTTCGATCGTCTGTGCCCGTTTGTCTGTCAGTTCGCTTGTCACGATTAACACGAGCCTTGAGTTAAACCCTTCTCTGAACATTGTCGGCTAACATGAGTTTGCAAGCCTCTTTCCCTCTTCTCTCTCTCTCTCTCTCTCTCACTCTTTCTCTCTTTCTCTATCTATCTATCTATTTCTTTCTCTCTTTCATTTATATCTTACTGACTCTTTATCATAGCCAGATCGAGTTTTGAGAAGAGAAGGGGTGGAGATAAGCGTGACACGACCTCTGACTTATACTTCCCATTAGTCCGATGGCTAATTAGCATGGTGATGAGGCTTTTGACGTTTGACGAGGATGCGGTAATCGAATATACATGCCGCACGACGTACATTAGTCGTAACCACCAATCCATTCAACTATCCATCTCTCGCTCTCTCCTTTCCTCTCTCTCTCTCTCTCTCTCTCTCTCTCTCTGTCTCTCTCTCTCTCTCTCTCTCTCTCTCTCTCTCTCTCTCTCTCTCTCTTTCTCTCTTTCTTTCTTTTTCTCATTCACTCATTCCAAGCTGCGCAAATACTTCACACCAATCGAAAATACTTCTCAAGAGATACGCAGGATTGAAAGAAGAAAGTTCTGAACGTTCATAGGCATTTCCAAGAAACGTCTTCTCAAACTTTGAAAATCATTCATTGTAACTATTCTTTTTTCTCTTTGACATGATTTTTGCGATTAAAGAAGTATTCAATGTTGTAAGTAAATAAGAATTCGCAAACATAAAACGTTGAAATGATTGAAACACATGAGTGTTTCGAGATTCGAAATCGTATACGCTAAGGCACGTAACTTTATCTTTACTCAAAGAGCAAAGGATATTTCAAGAAGATATTCTTCGCGAGGATGTAATATATCTCGGGAGATGTTCGAGTGAGAAAGAAAGAGAGAGAAAGAGAGAGAGAGAGAGAGAGAGAGAGAGAGAGGTTACTTAATGTCAAGTGAAGTTAGTTGATAGCACCTTGATTCTATTCAAGTACATTCGTAGTTACACGTTTCTTCTCTCAACTTTCCACCTTTAACCCCTCCCTTATCTTGCTCTTTCCTCGATATTTTTTAATGCGATCGCTTTGAACTTACCGATTCATTCATTAATCATGAAATTTCTCATCTTTTTTACTCCAAGTGTTAACAATTTTATGAAGTAACAATGAGTAAAAAAGTTTACAAATAATGAATGAAAAACAACATGACGATGGGAGAAAGAGAGAGAGAGAGAGAGAGAGAGACATCAAGGGAAAGATCGAAATATGACGATATCAAATTTTATCAATACTTATTTGAATGTCGTAACTTGATTGCTTAAATAAATTCTTCAAAAATATATATTATCTTTTGATAGGATATGGATTAAATTAAATTTCTTTTTCTTTTTATAGAAAAATTATATTGAATAATTTTTAACACTTTTTTTTTTTTTTAATTATTCCTGACAATTAATTAATTCGATTAAAAATTTTACATAGTCATAACCACGATATTATTATATTTTATCGACAAATAAATAATACGTATTCATATTAATCATTCGAAAGATAATATTTGGAAATATTAGAGAAGTTAACAAATATACTCGAGCGAAGATAATCCAATAGCAGTAATAAAAGAATTTATTTCTCACTTAACATAAAGTTCGCTCATCTTTGTTTACTAACATAATACGAAGAGAAAAGTCTCGTACTCGCGTCGGATTATAATCTAACCAACGGTCGACACGAGATACGCAAGTTGTTACAACAGCGTTGTCGTACGAGCGTGAACTATACTTTCATTAACAATGGACAAGTATCGTGTGCGCTCGCGAACCTGCATAACGTTGCACGCGTGAATAATGCACTCGAGTAAGCTAACGGAATAGAGTTAGACTGACGGTAACGTGCCTCGTAAAACCAGAAAGAAAAAGAGAGAAAGAGAGAGAGAGAGAAAGAGAGAGAGAGAGAGAGAAAGAGAGAGAGAAGGGATACAGATGACTTGTAAAACAAGCAAACAAACAAAAACAAAAAGCAAAGGTTAAAAAACAAGAATAGGTGTGCGAGAACGAGCAAAAAGGCCTTCTCCTACATGTCGTGAAACAACGACGTACCGGACGTCATTCGTTTCGTTACCTGTACATTCCTCTTTGCAGACGACAATGGCGGCCGCAACAGTGGAGGCCGTACCGCTACCGGCGAAATTTCGAGCCAAAAATTTACTGCTACCCTCGAAACACCTACACGTAACTCCCTACCTCTCCGTGCTCTCTGGAATTTGTTTGCCTTCGAAACGTCCGAATTCTCGATTTAGCTCTACAGTCGAATAAATGTCGAAATATCGGTCTCTCGCGTGTGCTACGTTGATATAACGATATATACATACATATATATATATATATATATATATATATATACACACATACACATACACACTATGTATTTTATACATTTATATATTTATATACATATATATTATATATCTATACATATACAGTAATGAGCAAAAGTGTTAACATACACCACTGGCTTTATAAAAAGGACGATAATACTACTAATTGCTCGATTGACCGATAAGAAATAGGTACTTACAAGGAAAATCTGATAAACAAAATGTAAAAGTTTATTTTTATTTATGTTAATAATATTCGTAAGATTTTACAAAAATAAGGACTTGCAACTGTGTTTAAAGTTTTGGACGCTTCGTCAGAACAAATGAGATAATATATAAACGATGGAGATTCGATGATACAAGTACCGATTATTAAACTCAAATTAAGATATTAAATTAATATTTTGTCTATTTTTCTTAGTTTTCTTTTCTTTTTTACTGCTTCTAGTTTACATTGCATACTGGATATTAAATTGTTAATTATTTCGGATTTGATTCTATAATCATTCCTGTTCTTTTCTTCTCCACAACTCATGAATACATGAAGATGGATTATCATCGTACTTTGCCAAGCTTCTTTTCACAATCAACCACAAATTTTCAATCGGATTCATATCCGGATTTAGCAAGCCAATTTTTTACTTTAATATTACTTCTTCGTTGAATAGAGTTAACAACAGAGGATAAATTATTTTATAAGATGTTTAAATATTATATGTTTTGTAAAATGTTTAATGTATTATGTGCTCTTTCCACATAATATCTTTAATCTTAACTGAAGGATCAACATACTTGTAAAGCATGTAAAGCAACACCAACGCCTTTATATATTCTTCATCTTATAAATCTTCAATTTCATAATTTATTTTATATTAATAATTTGATTTTGGACCAAATAACTCTTTTCGAATATTCTATGATTCATTCTTTGTACGTATCAACAAATTTCTTTTATAATCTTATAGTTTTATCTCTATAAATATTTGATTCGCGTTTCATTTATTTCATATTTAAACCAATTCCCTTTACAAAACAATAAACGGCGTTCATTCATTAGCCTCTGTTCCTATCCCATTAGCAATGATTTTCGGCATTTATATGACGTTTAAACCGAATATGACATGCTATTTCACATGTCTTTCTGCCAGAAATAATTTGGGATCTACCATTTGTTGAAGAATTTAACACATTAAAATAGACTTTTTTTTATTTTTTTAAACTATACTACGACTCACGTCATATTTCTCTACAATATGGCTAACTGATAAACATTTATCGCATAAACAGATAATACTATTTTCTTTTTGTCCTTTACAAAATACATTCATTTTAATTTATCCATTTCAAACAATTTGTAGAGTGAGAAATTATACAATCACGTCTTACAATAATTAATCAGTACTTGTCAATTATTTCATTTCTCTATCGTTTATTTGTTATTCCATTCGTTTCTGGAAGCACGTGCAAAATTATAAAAATGGTTCAAGTCTCTATTTCAGTGAAATGTTCCGGATATTATTAACATAAATGAATATAAACTGTTACATTTTATTTATTAGATTCCCAGAAAGATAGAGTTTGGAAAGATTGTAATTAAAATTACCTAATCCTTATTGATCAATAGATTTTTAGTAGTATTATTGTAGTATTAACAGTATTATCTTTTCTTTTTTTTTTCATGAGACTAGTGGTGTACATTTACATTTTTGCTCATCACTGTATACACACACACACACACACACACATGTAGTTTCAAATGAAATAACCAAATCATAAAAATGTAAAGTGACGAGATCGTCAAGGTTTGCTTACATAAGATTCGGAAATAGAATCGATCGATCGTCCTAGCCATTTTGTCGATAGTACTAAAATTAAGCAAATATGATAGAAAAGTCGAGAGAAGAGTTCAAGACGAAGTCAATCTTCTCGTTGGTAAAGCGCGCGAGTAAACGGAATAAATGAACTAAAAAGGTATATAGCGGATACTAGAAAGTTCTGAGTGTAACGGCAAATAATAAATCCCAAGGATTAATCCATTTATAACGAAAACTCCGAGCATGCTGTTTGCTTTCATCGAACACAGTGTTTCTCGTTTCTGTCTATCTACCTATCTATCTGCTTCCCTCTCTCTCTCTCTCTCTCTCTCTCTCTCTCTCTCTCTCTCTTCCCTCTCTCTGCTATCGTCAGAAATAAAACAATTGAATTAATCCAATAAGTCGATGCATCGATAGAGTAAGGTGAAGGGTTGAGGAGGCGGAAGGGGTTGATCATAGAGAAAGAAAGAAAAAAAAGAAAGAAACAGAAATATAGTGGATGTTAATTTATCTTCTTTGTTTTGTTTTTTTTTTTTTTTTTTTTTCTTTAACTTGTTTATGCAGGGGACCACCCGGAGACGGATGAGGAGAGCGAGTTGAATGCACGAAATCGTTTACATCATCATCATTGTCATCATCGTCGAGCATCGACATCGAAACCTGCCAGTGAAGACGAATTCGCCGAGGATGAACTCTCGGTCGGTGAACCTTCCGAAGCAAGGATGCTCACGTCAAATGGTCCCGCATGGGGCACGTGTCCTGCCGGAAACAGACAGCCAAGGGAGCGAAGGGGTAGAAGCCCGAGGAGTCTCGATCGACGCAAGAGAGACAAAAGTCACGACGTCGGCGAGTTCCACGAGGGGATGCTCCTCGATGCTTTGCTACAACTTTATCCTAGTGTGGCAGGTACGTTCGATTTCCGTTACCATGGTAACTATTCATCCATACGGACGACCGAAAACGGTCTAAGCTTTTCTTGAAATATTAATAACACGTAATATAATACACGATGTAGGCGTTAACTTACTATTATTTTTTACCTTTAAATATTATTATTTTATTAAACATCGATACAAATCTATAACCTATATAAAGTGATAACTTTGTTTTTATTAGAAAAACGTCGTTTCAAAAATTTCTTTAATATTTCAATACTTCAAATAAATATGTATCTATTATTAATATAATAATATATAAATGTATATATATATATATTCATATTATATATATATATATGTATATATAAATTTATATGTACGACATATCAAGCTTAAATATATTCATTCAATTAGATGTATTCGTACATATAACGATTAGTTTATTTTTCAGGAGTAGCAGGGAGCAGAACGAACAGTAACCAACGACAACAACAGTCCGTCCCTTCGGTGGCACATAGGCTGCCATATTTTGTGCCGCCGATGCCAGCAGCTCAAGCTCTCAGACTCGAAGAAAATCCATACGAAAGCGTGCCTGTCCTCGGGCCACTTCATCGTTACTCCAGTCAAACCAGAAGTAACAAGGAGAGATCAAAGAAGTCAAACGAAAAGTACAAGTACATGAGTGCTAGCCGTGACGGTGGCGGCAGTAGTGGTGTTGGTAGTGGTGGTGGTGGTGGTGCTGGTAGTTGTGGTGGTGTCGGTGGTGGTGTCGATGGTAGCGGCAATCAATATACTACCGATTATTATGGTCTTCAGAATCAAGAAACGACGCCGGTTTATACGCAAGTTGGCGGAGACACTTATTCCTCGGACACTTACTCTCAACCGACAGACAGACTTTACAACGAAGACAAGTATACACAACCAGTTTATTATGCGCCTAGGGATAACGATCAAGTCTCTACAGGAAGATTATACCAAGGTCAACCGGACAGCAGCTTTGGCAGTGACAGTGGTTACAGTCATCATACATCTGGTACCACGGGAACCAGTGGCACACGTGGCAGCAATTCGAGAACCAATCACAGAAAGGACAAACATCGAAATTCTCATCATTCTCATCATTCCGCCGATTATATCGTTTCTTAATGAATATGCGAATGGACAAGACTATTCACTTGATTATAACGATGGATCCTGCTTCTTTCTCAACTCACGAAAGAAAGAAAGAAAGAGAAAAAGAGAAAAGAAAAGAAAAGAAAGAAAGGAAGGAAGAAGTTTTGGTGCTTACTTTTTATCGATAACAAACGTAACGATCGATCTAATTATTTTTTTTCGTTAATGTTGTTTTATCTTATTTGTTAAGAGAGTCCATTGACTCTTTGTTATTGTTCCTTGAAACTTAGGAGTTTCTACATGACAATTACGTTTCTCGTAGTTTGTTTTATAAGTGGTCATGTGTTTTTGTTCGTAAGGACCGATTAGAAAAGTGAAAAGACACGATACGCTGATACAGGAAGTGACAGTAATCGTTTTAGTATAGTATATTACCGCGTAACTATTTAATATTAAATTATTTGCAATTAGTACTCAGGCTAGTACCAAAGCACGCTGTGTTTAGAAACATTGCGTTTTCCTTTTCTATTCTTCTATATTTCCTTACTCTAACTCGTTTATAAGTCATAAATAAGAATGAAATGAGGAGGATCGGTTTGAAAGGCCAAAGCGTTTTTGTGCGAGACGTGCGACTGTCGTTTGAGAAGAAGTAATGTTCCAATGTTGATTCGATTGAGCGTAAGAAAAGGGGAATGGTAGACCCTTGTTGACGAATTTTTAAAGCATAACTCGATACGAACTAACCTGGAAGAAATTAGATAGATTAGTCCATCCACTGCCACGCGATCGAGTCATAGATCGGCCGTACATAATTATTATAGTTAGTGTCACTCGACACGTTTTCGTACAAACGCTGACGCAGAAGGTTTCTTCTGCGTTTTAATCATACCGGTTTGAGAAAATCCTTTGATATCACAATTTCGCATATATAGCGATCGTTAATAGAATATCTTTTTAGAATGCTTCGTACGAACTTACGCTAAACATTTATTAAAAATCATTTAATATCGAAATACACACACTGCCCGTACATACCTCCGACGAATAAAACGATTTCTCGAAGCAATTAAAGTTAACTTCGTATTTTTCTAACTCCCTTCGTAGAAAGGAAACAGAGAACGAAAGGAACGAATATTGGATGAAGACGCTTACGTTTATATTTCATTTTGATCAATCCCGGTCGTAGAAATATTCGATTCTTTGAATGAACGAAATGAATTAAAACGATACGTCTAATTGCCACTTGCAAACGATACCTACTGCTGGTTACCATCGAAATATCGATTTAACTTTGTTACGATTTATTCGCTGCTCGAATCATATGATAGTATATAAGATTTCCAGTATACAGAGAGAAATTCGAAATACTTTGCCGAAGCTTTTTTTTTTTTTTTTTTTTTTTTTTCGATATGAGAGTTTGGTAATCGATTAAATGCAAAATTTCAAAGAAACTTCCGAATGTGAAAGTACCGTTGAAACTTTCGAGTTTCGTTTTATCGTATACACCTACCTATTTACAAAGCATGTGGCTTCTCGATCGACAACAATCAAACCTATTGAATTTTTAATGCAGTCTTCTTCGATGGGAGATGTACAATTACTTTAAAAAACCACAAAAGCCGAGCTATCGAGAAAATAAGTTAGACGTAACGTTATCCATTATTCATCGAGATACGTAGTTTCGTAGAAACGAAGAGGAATGGAAAAAGTGAAAGGGATTCATTTTAACGAACATTTTACCGGCTTCTATTTGATCGCACATGTTTTTCTCGTTATGCCGCATCTTTGGCTCTGTATCCACGAGAGGAGAGAAAAAAAAAATATATATATATATATATACATCAGGATAATAAAATACATACGAAGAAGAACGAAGGAACGTCACATTGATTAAACGACAAAAAAAAAGAGAAAGAATTTTTCGTAATAGGTTGTACTACAGAAGCACGCGTTTGATTGCGTATAACACGTAATGCGCGTAGGTACTACACATAAACCCAGATATAAAGTCAAGTCATATACATACCTACATATTATAATACGAGTATAAAAGTAAAATATTTCCGCGCGAATTCTGTAAATAATTAAAGGTAGGACTAAGCGAAGCGGAGAAGAGGAAATGAGGGGAAGAGAGGGGAAATACGTGCTCGCTCGTTCCCCCACCGTGTAGCATAGTTGTACCATATCGTTATCGAGACTTTTTCGCGACTTGTGCGGATCCGTAAATCCACATGGAAGAGTGCGTGTATCGAATGGCAAATTGCTGCGTGAGAGGTGACAAAACCAAGCGAATCAGTAAATTTAATATATACATAAAATATAAATATATGACAAAAATATATAATACGCATATATAATTTTTAATTTATTTATAACGAGTCGAGCGCGCGTTATACAGCGCCTAATAGCGATTGATATAAGTGATAAGAGCGATGCGAGTACAAGAGAACGAGAAAAAAAGGGAGAGAGAGAAAGAGAGAGAGAGAGAGAGAGAGAGAGAGAGAAAGAGAAAGAGAAAGAGAGAGAGAAAGAACGAGAGAAATGGAAAAGAAAGCTCGATAAGGAATAGGGAGAAATACTCGTGCGGGGATAATTTACTTCTCCCTGGTAAAAAGCGGAGGCGGTGCTGAAATATTTGCACAAGAAACCGGAGAAAGCGATTTCCTTCGTAATACATGAGCACCTCTATCTCTTCATGTTCTTTCTTCTCTCTCTCTCTCTCTCTCTTTCTCTCTCTTTCTTTTTTTCTCTCTCTCTCTCTCTCTCTCTTTCTCTCTCTCTCTCTCTCTCTCTCTCTCTCTCTCTCTCTCTCTCTCTCTTTTTATCTATCTATCTATCTATCTATCTATTTTTCTCTCTCTATCTTCTCTTTTTTCACAGATATGTAGGCGTATATATACACACATACGCGCATTCATTCTCTTTCTCTCTCTCTCTCTGTCTCTTTCTTTCTCTCTTTCTCTCTCTCTCTCTTTCTTTCTCTCTTTCTCTCTCTCTCTCTCTCTCTTTCTCTTTCTCTTTCTCGTTTGCTCGCTCGCTCGCTTCCCGATAATGTACACACACTCTCTTTTTAGATGCAAGTAGTGCGAATACCTCACAACAAAGAAAAATCACTCTGTTGTATATATAATTTTATATGCATGGGCTGCGGAGAAGGCATATGTAAAAGGGGAGAAAAGACACACTAGCTAAGAGGAAAGCTCGGAAATCCTTTTTCCTTTTTCTCTCTTTCTTTTTCTCTCTCTTTTTACTTCTCTTTCTCTTCTCTCTTTCTCTCTCTCTCTCTCTCCTCTCTTTCTTACCCTTTCTTCTTCTTTATTTTTCTTTCTTCGTATGTCCTCCATGTTAGCCTCGAGATTTTTTCTGATCCCTAATCCTTCCATCCTTTTTTTTTCGTCATGCCAGTGTAAATTTATGATATTATCTCATACTTTTCTAGTCTTCCTTTTTTCTTTCCCCTCTTTTTGTCATACTTAGAAACGTCAAGTTTTTTGTTGCATCAAAAAAAGAAATGATATTCTTTTACTACCAACGATATGATTGATATAAAATTTAGAGATATGCTTGCAAAGTTTATTTCTTTATTTCCTTTTATAAAGTTTGGTGAAAATATTTTGTTAAAATACACACCTGTAATTATTGGTAAAATAAAAAAAAAAAAAAGAAAAGAAAAGAAAGAAAAAAAGCAAACAGAGAAGAGAAAGAGAGAGAGAAAGAAATGTAGAGAATTTCCGAGCGTTGAGAATAGGTGAACCAGAGATAGTATTGATAACATGTACTTAAAACGTGAGAGTTAGAGAAAAGAAGGGATTGTGTATGTAAGCGATGTACGTATAAGACGAGTATCCTATGATCAAAATGCGTACAATCAAAGAGCGTGTGCGTGAATTATAATATCATGGCGTGAATAGATAAGAATAGAAAGAGATCAAAAGGCGAATGAAAAAATGGTAAACGAAAAGGTGGGAAATTGAAGGAGAAAAAAAAATTAGTAATAAGAGGACAAACAAGAAGAGGAGCAACAACAAACGCTTTCGTATAATTTTGCGTCCTTAATTAGTAAAACTCATTTTTAACGAGAGAAAAGACAAAGAGAGAAAGAAAAAGAAGAAAAGAGAAAATCGACCTTTTTTTTATCTACGCCTGTAAATATATACATAAGATACATGTTAATATCAAAGGGTACCGACACGCTTGCTAGTAGACGACATCGGCTTGTATCAAATTTCCGTCGTATTTTTTCGACGAGAAAATAAGAACAAGCCGGAGAGCATGATTCTTAAAGACTTTCTTGCGATTAAAAGTTGCTATATCGATATGTATGCGAAGAGAAGCGTATTGAACCCCAACCCTATTCATTCGTATATTTCATTTCCGTAACTCGTACGGGAAGAAGAAGAAGAAGAAGTTGGTCGTAGGATAGATTTGGTGAAAGGAAGAAGAGAGATGAGGCGAAGGAAGGAAAGAAAGATAAAAATATGAGGAAGCTTCCTTTTTCACTTTGGACATGTATGCATGCGAGTCGCCAGACTGGTTATTAATTTATTAAACGCGCGCGAAAATAGAAAAATGGCCCCAATAAGTCGTTCGGCTCTTCTCTCCTTCGGTCTCACTAATTTTTAGCGCCGACGTAGCGATTATAGCGAGTTGACACACATACACAGACAGGCACACACGCATAATTTAACAAAGAAAGGAAAAAAAATGCATAGACATTAGAATACCTCGAAAAAAAGAATAACAAGTAGCACTTTTGAAAGTTAGCTTGCACGGGCGATCACCTTTTCCATCGCATTCTCACCCTTTTCAAAATCGATATATGTATGCATACATATATATATATATATATACACATATATACATATAAACGTGTATATATCGATACGCTACATTAGTACATACACATGCATTTATTATATATCGCGAATTGATAAGGGTTTAGACAAGTGCAAATCGAACGAGAAGTATGAAATCGATCGAAGAAGAACGATGAAAGAGAGAGAGAGAGAGAGAGAGAGAAGTGTATGTGAGAATGAACGAACGAACGAATGAAAGAAAGTAAGAGAATAAGGAAAAGTAGATGAAAGCGACTAGTCGAAAAATTTCAAG